ATAGTTGCATTGGGACTAGGACTGCAAACGAGTCGAGTCGAGCATTGGCCTTATCGAGCAGAATTAAATTTATTTTTAGTTGCTCGTTGCATAGTTGCATTGGGACTAGGGCTGCAAACAAGTCGAGTCGAGTCGAACATTGGCCTTATTGAGCAGAATTGAATTTATTTTTAGTTGCTCGAGCTCGTGCTCGACTCGATAAGAAAATACAATAACTCTAATTGGGCTCGAGTTCTGTTCGAAAATTTTTAGGTGAAATTATCATTAAACACTTGTATTATACTATTTAAATATATATATAAGAGATATTTTAGTAATTTAATATATATATATATATATATCAAGCTGCTCGACGAGACGCTCGACAATGCGAAATATGGGCTCGAGTTCGTGCTCGAGTCGCTCGAGTCGAGCTTTGACTCGAGCGCTTGCTCGCGAGCCGTTCGACTCGTTTGCAGTCCTCATTGGGCACATGGTTCGTGGTTTTTACATTGGTTCAAATATGAAATTAACGTTTTGATATTGGATTTTTAAGAATTTATGCTTCAGATATCAAAACAGGGGAAATATCAAATATTGGACTTTTGGGAAGGAACATCAATTATATTTTTGTTCGTAGAAAGAGTTTTGAAAGGCAGCGAAACAACTATGGTTGTAAAAAAATCGAATCAAAGCGAATACTCAGAGATTCGATTCGGATTTGTTAAATTATTCGAAGATTCGAATTCGTATTCGATTTGTTAACGAGCTCATTTTTTTATTCGTACTCAATTCGTTTACAATATTCGAACATATTCGATTCGATTCGAAATTCGTTTTAAATAAAAATTATAATTAAAAATATTATAATTACAAAAAATAATTTTTATTCTTCATATATTTTTAGGAAATTTTGTTAATTTAGTAGGAATATAACAATATATATATATATATATATACATATATATTATAAACAAAATGTATACTACATATAATTTATAAAATTTATATAATTATTGTTAACGAATCGAATATTCGAATTTTGAATCAAATAATTACAAATTCGAATTCGAATTCGTTTAACTTTCAAATATAAAACATTATTCGAATTCGAATATTTTAAATTTGAATCACGAATATCGACTCGAATAAAAAAAAAAAATGATTTGTTTAGAAGCCTAGAAACAACTCTCGAAAGTTGAAAATAATTTTTAAGTTTTTCGTTGGTTGAACTTGCAACAGATTATTATTTTTGCACATTACATAGCCATCCCCTAGATTTCACCCAAAAAAAGAAAGCCCAAATAACTATAATATAAATATTTCAATGCTTATCTACTACAATGCATAATAGCTATACTCTCGAGGCACAACTCAGGCCAACATTTTCAGTCCAAAAAACTCTTCTGTGAGAGAACATGGAAAAAGTCTTCCTTACCTTAAACAGAGAAGCAAACCCTATATCAAAACAACAACATATACTCACATATTCATCTTCATCGATCACTTTAAGGAACTCGGTACGAAATTAGCCTCCTCCACGAAGAATCAAACAACCCGATTTTTCGACCAAACACTACAACACCAAAGTAATCAACTTTGGACCTCTATCGATCAAACGCCACAATGCGATTAACGAAAAGCCACATGCCAAAGTAAATCGACTTAGGACTTCTACCGATCAAACGTGCCACAATGCAAAGTAACTGACTTTGGACATCTATCGACCGCCTAGCTCGAAAAATCCGAATTTCTCGAACTAGAAGGATTAACCTTTCTATCATCATTATTATTACAACTCAAAAGCCTCCTTATCGACCTAAGTCCCATTGGCATTGATGAAGACTTTTGTTTGTCATCCTCATTCAACTCACGTGCAATCTCAACCGTCGATTCTAGACTAGGCGAGCCGCTTGTGGACCCCACCAATGACTGCTCGACGACAATATTGTCACGATTATTCTCCTCAACCGAAGAAGAACCGAACGTGGTGACTTGAGTCTCGTTTCCCCAAATCAACACATTAGTCGGGAAATTCGGTGCCTCATTGCCATGGCTTAAATTTTCGAGCGCCGAGATTTGAATTGTGACGAAATCCAATGGCGGGTCGTGGCTCGATTCTAACCGGCTCGGATCATCATCGACGGGTTTTCGACACATAGGACACGTGGAATGGGAGTCGAACCACATGCCGATGCATTCGAGGTGAAATCCATGGCTGCATTTGGGCAAGAACCTCGTTTCTTCGCCTAGGGAGATTTCGGACAGGCAAATCGCGCATTCGAGCCCGTTTTCGGGCCCGTTCGGGTCGAACACGATGACGGGCAGGGTTTTGAGGACCGATGGGTCGAGGCCACGGCGGGGAACAGCCAGATCGTGGTGGCCGGCGGCGAAGTGGAGGCGGCTGCGGAGCGGGTCTGGGGCGGAGATGGGGTTTTCGCGGCGGCGGTACCAGAAATACTTGGCGTAGAGGTGGAGGCAGAAGACGAAGAGGACGATGAAGAGGAGTAGGACGATTGCGACCACCATTATCTTCCCCGTGAGCTCGATAATGCCCTTGTCCCCAAATCTCTCCGACGAGTCCGCCATCTTTTTTCTTCGAATCAGAATCTGTAAAGGTTGGATTTTTATCGCTAATTTCGAGAGGAAATTCTCTGAACACGATCAAAAAATATGAGATTTTTCGGCAGTGGGGTTTAAGGATTCCAAAATATCTAAAACCCCATGAAAATTTCTGGGGCAAATGTGATGCTTTGATTCTTGAA